CGAACCAGTCGCTTGGAAACGTCGAGGATGCCTGATAGCGACAGAGCCAAAGTAAGTGGTTTTGACAAAGATGAAAGCGGGGACTTTTATGCCAAGCTTCAAGAAGCAGTCGAGAAAAGAGTGACTGCTAATTTTAATAGGTTGTCGCATCCTAGCATGCCAACGGTTGACGTCTTAGACGTGCCGCATGAAAACAAGCCGAAGACGGCTCCGTCTGGTGAAGATAGCACAAATGGAAAGGCCTACTTCTTTCCTGAACTTCGTAGTTTGATCGAAGACAGATTGGAGGAAACCAAAGTAGAAACACTATCGAATCGCTTGGAGCGAGAATTGGCACGTAGGCAGCAGCTCTGTAATGAGCAGGCCTTGATGTTACAGTTATTGATGAATCGGATTCAAGAATTGGAGAAGCGTCCAGTGAAGGGAAGTTCGTCTGGTCCAGTGAATGGATGGCCCCGACGGCCCCGTTCAAACTCAGGTCTGTACTGCTACACCAGCAACTTCGTCGTTGAGAAGGCGACGCAGACACCGAGTGACCTTCACGACGCAGAAGGGGTGTACGTTATGGTTGCGCGAAGCTCAGGAGCCAAAGCCAAGAAGGTACAGAAAAAGTTTGTATACGGGTATCCTGAGAGGATCACAGAAGAGAAACAAGTTTCGGCGATCATGAACAGAAAAATTGTGACGCAGCAAATCGAGTTCTTGCCGCCAATTCCTGATCCATTCGCTAAGCGAAGACCTCGAGAGGTGAAGAAAGCTGGATGGCACACGATGTGACACTGAATGCAAAATACTCACAGAATTTCTCTAATCTTTGCAAAACCGTAAGATTATTGTTTATAGAAATCAGTATGGTACATATTACATTTCTGCGAGTGTGCATGTAGTAGATCTTACACTGCTTTCAACGAGGCCCAAAAATTTACCTGGCTTTTGGAGGGGTCAAAAAGTTTCTCCGCGTCACTTACAGTACATATTTCAGTTATGTCGAGGAGAGGAGGAAAAATTGGAAAATTGGCCAAGCTTACTAAGTTTATTTTCATTCAAATAATCATAAGATAATGCACCACAGTAACATTGTAAAAAATACGCTTTCTTGAATCACAGAAAAGGAAGTTATGTTGATACAAGCTTAAAGTAAAGTTTGCGAATAGATGAAGTACATCTACAATTGAAACTTTTTCGTTTACCCATTCCCTCTTTATTATGCATCTGTAAAGCTTATGCATAACTAGTATGTTCCAAAAATTAAAGTTAGCCTTGGGTAAATCCTACCATAAGAATGCCATGGTTCATTGGGGTTGCAAATAACATTTAAGCTGGTTTACTGTTGGCCAGAAACTTCCTGGTGGGTTAAAGCTTAGACTTATTTGGGTCAGTAATTTTCTTTCTTGAATTATTTTCCACCCGTTTGTTAAGGGCGAACTTTATCTGCTTAACGTAGGAAGCAAGCTTTGGTTGGAGTTGCTTGTTTAAGTTGATTAAAGGAATATTTGACAGACGCTGTTTTGTCTCCAAAATGCTATACTTTTCATTACCTGTAAGGACTTTGAAAATCAGTGACTCCCGCTAACTTAACATGAAAACATCACTCCCAAGGGAAAGAGCTAACAGATCGCCAGAGGGTTTTGTGTTGGAAGATGCTGCTAATTTGAAGATTGGGAAGTAAAATGAAAATTTTTCCCTAACGCGAGCTTATGGTAGCAGAAATGGCGCTACTTTAAGCGAGCTATCGAGAAGGGTGAGGCCTGTAAAATCGACTGATCACAGAACTGAAAGATCTACCTATAATCAAAGCAGCCTAGCTCTCAAACGTATCTTTTGGGACGATATACCAAACTATCATGTACAAAAGAAACCAGAAACAGGCTGCACAAAGACGTAAGAGCAAATTAAAAAAAAAATACTCAAGGGTAAGGCATGCAAAATCGACTAATCACAGAACTGAAATATATGACTCTTATCAGAGCAGGCTAGCTCAAACACTTTTCCTCAAAGACGATATATACCGCACCATCACGTATAAAAGAAACCAGAAACAAGCTGTAGGAAGACGTAGGATCAAATTTGAAAACAAGAATGACTCAAGGCTACAAAACATAAAAAAAAAGAAAAAAAAAATAAGCAAACAGGGGAAAAAAAAGAATGAAGCAAATACGTTGATTTTTGGAAGAAATAATGATCACAAATGCAAAATGTTGTTGAGTGATTTGAAAGTTTATTGAACAAATGAGCGTCGAGTACATGTTGTTGAATTATGTGTCATGTTACATATCTTGGACTAACTGATTAAATGTTCCTACACCTCTCCCCCTCTGCTAGACATTATTGATGCAAGACCTAGAATTATTTTGAATAAATGTCTCGTTACGCTGTTCAAGGAGGAAAAAACGTAAGGAAGTAACCTAAAAAATATTTCAGCTATAAATCATGTATATTAATAAAAATAAGACAAATACCAGCTAACAATGGTATACAGTAGAGCTTGAATATATCATATCTCACGCGATCACCTATAGATAGCGTTCGTAAATTTGTTTCTTCTTAAAACGAAATTTCACCAACGCTTTTCTAAAATTTTTTAAAAGACAGCGATTACTTATTACCACGCTGGCCGTTATATTGCGCGTGTGTGCGCTCACACTTTAAAAGCTACTCGGTCATTTATCAAGCTAGCTAACACATTTCCTAATTACTCACGCGCCTCTTAAGTGGTACCTGGAACATCTAATAAAGCCTACGATGCTTTTTTTTTTGTTTTACCATGCACCGTCTTTATGTGAAGCACTTTAGCTGAAAAATAGGTTGCACAAAAAATGAAAAGCGCTCATAAAATTTGATCCTTCTTAAAACGAAATTTCACTTACGCTTTTCATTAAAGTTTATCATGCATTGAGTCTATTTTGAGACTTCTAATCTATTCATCATGCCAGGTAATACACTGCTTAATTGCTAGTAAAATATTGATAGCGTTCATATATGTTTCTTCTGAAACAATTCTTGTACGTTACCTGAAACATCTAATAAAGCCTACGATTTTTTTTACCGTGCACTGTCTTTATGTAGAGTACTTTGGCTAAAAAAGTGGCACTAAAAGCGAAAAGTGCTCATAAAATTTGATCCTTCTTGAAACGAAATTTCACTTACGCTTTTCATGAAAGTTTACCTATGCACAGCGTCTATTTTGACACTACTTTTCTATTCATCACGCCGGGTAATGCACTGCTTAATTACTAGTAAATATTTAGATAGCGTTCACAGAATGTTTCTTCCCGAACAAAATTAAACTCACGTAATTCTTATACGGTAACTGAAACGTCAAATAAAGTCTACGATTATTTATAACCACGCTGTTTTATAAGTAGAGTAACATTGCCAATAAAATGCATTTTAGCGAATATTAATTTGTTCCTTCTTAAAACGAAATTTCATTCGCGCCATCTTAAACTGTTACCTGTATATTGCACTCACTCGAGACTACCTACTTCTTACTAATTTGCTTACAAGATGGAAATAACGGTTATAATTTTTTTTTTTCTTCTGAAAACGAAGTTTTGGTCATGCGGCCTTTAGGAGGTCACTGATACATCAAGTAAAGCTTACGATTACTTCTTGTTACCAAGGTGATTGGTACGTTCCGCATTTACTGAGAATTTTTTAGCTAATACAATACGTCTCACAGAATACAAAGACGCTGACGAAATTTATTCCTTCTGAAAACGAAATTTCACTCGCGCTCTTATGATGTGGTTACTTATACATATACATTTGTGGTTTTCCTACGACTACCTTTTTGAGGAGGGTAGTATGATTCATGTATACTAATTCATAGCAGTCTTACTAAAAATACTTGAAGCAAAGTACATTGCGTGAACTCTAAGTCCACTTTGCAACATGCCAGGTAATGTTTCGTATATGCAAATTATTTTTATTATCGGTTAATTCTTAAGCTGCCTCTGATAGATCATTCTTAAGTCGATTTACGCTGACTCCTATTTTTTTTATTGAATATTATGGTAACTATGAACTCTCTGTCAACCAAGTTTCTTAATGAACTTGAATCGAACTTCAGTCGAACATACTGTTTCTCATTATACCAGTATGTCATCGTAATTGTCATTTTTTTTTTTACAGTAATTGGTCATTAAACTTTCCTTCCTCAGTCAGCAATATTTGATCTAATTACAGTACCTGTAAAATTCATTCTTGTGAACTGCCATCTGCGAAAAGAATAACAACAAATGATTAGTGCAGGCGTATGATATACTTAGTCAAACAAGAGAACCGAAGTAAAGCTATTACCCCAACACCAACAAGACAAACCCTGCTATAACGCTAGGGAGGTCCAAACCCTTCAAAAAACGCTAGTTAAGAACTTACTAGGAAATTAATCCCTGAAGTGTGTGTGTAACAGCTCATTGGGCTTCTTCTCTGCTATACAGCTGCATTGTGGTCAGTGGAAATCATTCGGTTACCCCAAAACAGTCTGGTCTATTATCATAAGAAGTGACGATAACTAAACGGCTTAGACTAAGCTAATTTTTTTTTCTCTCTAATCGTTACATGTTTGTTTGCTGGTTTTGGTTGTCATTTTAGTATGATTTTGGTTTCTTGCCTAGTCTTTGGTCGTTTATTTCTTTGCTTTTTATTTTTTTTTAAACAGAAAAACTCTACCAGTACGCATGCATAATCGTACTTGTATACTTCCTAGTTAAAAATCTGTTCGCGGGTGAAAAATAGCTCAAGTTTTAATCTAGTTACATCTAATCTCAAAGAAAAAATAATGGACGCTGAACGAAGGCAAAGAAAAGTAATTCACTGATTTAAGGATGACTTTGTCTTAATAAACTCTACCTACTCAATAACCTATTCCTGAAATCGAGAATTTCTAGATTTCGATCAATTTTAGGGCTTGAGATATTCTGAAAATTTACCATGTAACGAATCATATTGTCCAAAGTATCCCTCAAAATTTTTATCGTCACTTCTAATGGTGAATAATTTGCTCTAAAATTAACTTCGTCGGTAGAAAACTTCTTATTGAGTACTGTTTTGGAGTTGACCGAATAGCGGATGGCGGCAAATTGGACATGTGCGGCTGTAGAAAAAGAAATAATAATTAAGGGTAAGAAATGCTGCTTGATTTTAAGTCCCCCTACATCTCTGACACAGCAAAGCTAGCTAATGAGGCGGGAAGAAGTAGCTCTCAAAGGTAAGACTCGAAAGATGTAATGTTGAAAATCCAAAATCAGTTTTAAGCGCTTTTCCTACCATGGCTTTTCCGCCATGTCCAGTCGAGATTAAATTTGAATCAAATTGGTCAATGTAATTCCCTTACGATACTGATTCGAAAATTGCTAGTTTTTTTAGTAATATCACTTGACTTTAGCCAAAGTTTTGTAATGATTGAATCGATAAATAATTCAAACAAGTTCTTTAATGCCAAGGATTACGAGAAAGTGGAAGCTTTCACCTAAAATTAGTAGGCAAAATTTAGTCAAGGAATGTTCACAAGCACTAAACTCGTCAACTGTGGCAAAAGAAGTCACCAGAGAAAACAAGGGTGTTATTTTCAGATGCGTGTGAGGTTTCAAGAATACATACACGCCGTTTTGTATCATCGCAATGGCACAGTCCTTATGAACCTTGTGGGAGCAGGGGAGAATTTGACAACCACTGAAAGCGTCCTGTGACAAGAGTAAAGAAAAATGTATCAATATAGGTTTAACTAGGACAAAGTTAAAGGACGGAGGCTAGATCAAAATCTCTCTGTTTTAAGAGCTATTCCTTAAATTTCGAAATTTGTGAAATAGTTGAGATAGTAAGCTGTTTCCAGTTCTCCCTGCTCGTTCATGTTTTCCTAACGCCACACTAACAAGGTAAGAAGTTATCTGTGGCTAAATGTAACTTTTAAGAATTGTTCAGGCCATGATCGAGATTTTGAAAAATTGGCAAATGTTTTGGGGATGTACGACGTATTAAAAATTAAATGTGAAATAAAAGGGCGATTGGCTTCTGGTCGAGCGTACAAAAAAGGCATAGACACCAATGATAAATATTGGAATTACAAATTAAGTTAAGTTAAACTTGATTGGAAATTTATTACTTCAAGAAGCAAGCAGTATAAGGAAAAGGCATTCCTAAAAGCACATGACTTGTGTAATTACGAATACACTAGTTAAGATTTCCCACACTGAGGGCAGTAATTCATCCATCGAGCAAAACTACATCACCTCGAGACATATGCAGCATTCATCGTGTCCCGAATCAGGTCTACACTTATGTTTTCCTTCAAGACGTTTGTCCAGGCATACGTTACAAACATCACAATGGAAGGATCTGTCTCTATGGATTCTATCAAAACGTTTAAAGTTAGTAGGAGGGAGTCGAATTTGTTACTTTTACTCGCGCACATTTGGTAGCCGATTGTTTCACACGACCCAAACTGGTCAGAATGACAGAAACCAGAGACTTATCTAGATTTCCGAAGGATGTTAGGGGTGTTGCTTCCCAATCCGTCGGAATAAAAGGCTACTATGCAGCAAAGTACGCTTCTAAATATAAAACAACTGGTTGAGGTGGTACTCCAATCCTCTCAAGTCGAAATGGAAACCATATCTTGAAGATCCTCCAAATCCCTTTTTTTTAGGTCCATAAGTCATGCAAAAATCGTTTCATCATCTTACCTACAGATACCACATTTTTCGCAGTGGAAGGGATTTTTATCCACGGAGGTATAATGGCGACATGTTGGGCAGAAATACTCAGACATGACTGCGTTGCAGCCGCCACATCTCTGGCCATTTTCGTCGATCTGAAAAGAATGAAAGAAAAAAGGATGTAATGGCGTCTTTGTTTCGTTCGAGACTTTAGGGTCTATTAGCTGTTCTTTTATGAGAGGATCACGAGCAAAAATCTCACCTCTTGTTCGTGATAGCAGATAGTGCATCGTATGTGTGTGGCATTAACTGCTCTTGCCTGATCCTCATTACAATCTGACTCGTTGTGGCATCGGTGGCAAGGGAAGAACTTTCCACAGCAAGGAAACCGTACCAAGCATCGCCGTTGATAATGACTGCAAACAGGGCGTGGACTCTCTTGTACAGGTGTTGCCATGGGTTGCCGCTCAGCTTCTACGGTCGGTTCATTTGATGGGATAGATTCTCCTTGAGTGTTCGTCTCATGAATTCGTTGTGTTACGGCTGCTTCTGCTTCTCCCATATCGTCTGTTTCTTCCTGTATGCCTGTCTTTTCGACTGTCTGGTTTGCTGGATCATTTCCCCTGGCGCCCTCAACATTTAAGGCAACAAGCCGGATAGTCTTGGCCATTATTTCTTGAAGATAACTAAAATTAGCGGTCAATGCATTTTCTGTCCACGAATGCTCCTTCTCGCTCATTGGTGGCGATTGTCCACTTTCATCATTACCCACACAGGTGGAGTACTCATTTGCCATTGAAGCCATGTCGTTGTACGCACATGCCGATCCACACGCACAGAAGGGTTTCTCCCAGTTGGCATTAAGAGATTTTGGCAGCGATGTTGGATTTGACTCATTTTTTCTCTCGGCAAAGCATTGATTTCGCAGCACCATATCTTTACAGGACTCTGAGGGTGGAAAATGCCAGCTTTCTTTTTCCTTTGCGTTCGTTGGCGCTAAAGCAATTAAGGCGTTATGTACAGGAATAACTTTATCATATCTATTGGCTTTTTCGCGTAGAATGGACTCTTCCTTGTCGTGTGACTTTTGATCTTTGCTATTGAAGACTTGGTCCTGAGCATTAAATGGAAAGTACTCCTGTTCGTAGTCTTCTTGCCACAGACCCTCTGATGAAGCATGATTATAGTTACCACCGGTCTGAAACGGAATTAGTGGGCTACTCTCTTTGACGTGACGTGCCAGAAACATAGGATCTAGGCCAGGAATTAATCTTTCGAGGTCATAGTTAGCTGACGATGGATTTTTAATGCTGGGCCAAGGTAAGGGGGTTTTAGCATTGACTGTTAACCTTTGTTTGGGTCTTGCTCCTCCATCGCCCGAGTGAGATTGAAAGAGGTTACTCTTAGGTTCAAGAGGATATCTTAGTTCGCAAAGCGGATGTCTATCTGTACGAGACTCGTTTTCACCACCTAAGGTTACACTTTCGTGCTTAACGCTGGTTTTGAACTTCCCGCCGCCATGAAAGTCCTTGTGAAGATTTTGTGTGAGTGCTGGTCCATCTACAGTATCAACATTATTGATACGGTCTTCACGACTTCCGCCTAAGCTTTGCTTCAAAGATCGCGTTTCATTTTCCTCTATTAGATTGGCTCCGTCTACAGCATCCGTCTCTCTTAGAAGATCAACCACATTATTTTGACTTCTACTGGTATCCTTGTTCTGGGTTCCAACAGGTAAAACGTCTTCATTAAGTGGCTTGAATGTTCTCTCTGCTGTTATTTTGTCATAATCGGAACAAGAAGTGCCATCCTTTTCTAGTGTATTGGATTTATTTCCTATCATTTCCACTCCACTTCGTTCCCTGTCTTCCACAAGGTGTTCTTTTCTAATTTCCAATTTATTTACACCCGGCTTCGTTTGTCTTAGACCAACTGCTTTAGCATCTTGTACCTCGTGGTTAGGCTTGACAACCACGGCATGAATATCCTTGTAACAATTTTTTTCAAGTACTGATCCATCAACAACGACAGCGTTTTTGTTAAGGTCCTCGTGGCTTTCGCCGTCAGCAACAACATCACCCCCTTGACACAAGGACCTGGTGGTACTTTCATTGCGGTTTGAGATGGTGGCTCTTAACTTGGAATGTATCTGTCCGTAAGGATAAGTTGGTTCTCTTTTTTCCACAGAATGCATTCCATTTTCCTCTTTTAGGTTTGACCCATCCGTACCATCCGTCTCTCTTAAAAGATATACCACGTTCTTTTGGCTTCCACTGGTACTTTTGTTCATGGATCCATCTGGTAAAACGTCCTCAAAAAGTGGCTCGAATATTCTTGCTGATGTCATTTCGTCGCTATCGGGACAAGAAGTGCCATCCTTTTCTGGTGTATTGGATTTATTTCCTATCATTTCCACCCCACTTCGTTCCCTGTCTTCCATAAGGTCTTGCTTTCCAATTTCCAGTTTATTTACACCAGACTTCGTTTGTCTTTGATCAACTGCTATAGCATCTTGTACCTCGTGGTTAGGTATGACGACAGAGGCATGAATATCCTTGTGATAATTTTGTTCGAGTACTGATCCATCAACAACAAAGGCGTTTTTGTTAAGGTCCTCGTGGTTTTCGCTGTCAGCAGCAACATCACTTCCTTGACACAAGGACCTGGTGGTACTTTCATTGCAGTTTGAGATGGTGGCTCTCGACTTAGAATGTATCCGTCCGTAAGGATAGGTTGGTTCTCTTTCTTTCATAGAATGCATTCCATTTTCCTCGTTTAGAAATGACCCATCCACAGCATCCGTCTCTCTTAAAAGATACACCACCTTCGTTTGGTTTCCACCGGTATCTTTGTTTAATAATCCTTCTGGTAAACCTTCTCCAGCAAGTGGCCCAAATGTTTTCCCTGTCACCTTGTCGTCAAAATCGGAACGAGGAATTTCTTGATTTTCCGGTGTATTACCATTTTTTACTCTGATTTCCACCTCATTTCGTTCACTTTTTTCCTCGAGGTGCTGTGTTCTACTTTTAAATTTATTTCCGCCGGGCTTCGTTTGTCTTTGCCCTTCTTGATCTTCTTGACCAACTCCTATAGTGCCTTGTACCTCTTTGTTAGTTGAGGTCTCCCTGTTGGTTTTGATAGCGTTTTGCTCACTTGAACAAACATAATTTCTCGCTGTCTCTACGTTCTTAGCGTATGTCTCTCTTTCCAAAATGCTTGAGCTGTCGCTTTCATTAGAGGCTGTTACGCGGTATTCTTTAGCCAGCGTTGCTTTAGGCAAGCGGCTACTTACGTCCTCTGGAAGCTCACATTTAGGATGCATGTCTAAATCGTTACGATCTTTCACGCTGTTTAGGGCTGGGCCTTGTGGTGGTTGATGTATTCTCATCAGTTTGTCTTCTTCCTTTGCTGTCTTGTCTTCATGTGAACTAATTCTTTGGCCGTTTTCATGAGTACTGAAATTCCTGGAAATGGGGTTTTCGCTTGGTGCCTGGGCCTCTGGGTCTTGAAGCGGAAACTCCAAATTACCACAATTGCTACCATTTTGGCTTGACTGCAGTTTTGAAACATTATTTGCTTCTACTCTGTTTGACTGAATTGAATCGCCTTTTTTGGAGTTCAGTTGCTTTTTCTTTAGGCTTTCTTGTAGTTCAGCCATAATAGAGCGTCTTGACTGTCTATCCTCTTCAAACAGACGTTTCCCGTCCAATATCTCACAACGATCTGCTCTGAGAATCGATTCTTCCTCATGGTTACTCGTGCTTACCTCGACAGTGGCACATTCATGAGCGTTCAATGGAAGACCCTCGTTATTTTCACTTCTTTCTGAACTCTCTGTCAGATGCTGAAGTGATGTGTTTTTCTGGTCTTCCCGATTTTGAGAGGAAGCAGTTAGACATCTTGTGTCATCGTCACCCAGTTCCACAAAACTTACATCGTGCCTCCTGGAAAGGTATTCCTGGTCTTCTAGACTTCCATAAGCATAATGACATTGATTGGGATCCGCCATACAGATGTCATCGTTAGTCAGTGGACTCTCCACGCTGTAAAGCAGTTGTGATATCTGGCTGACAGTCCTGAGACAACCTAGAAATTTCTCTCTTGTTTGTTCTTGCCTGTATTCCAATTCAGATGTATCGACCTGAAAATAAATTTTATTTACATGGTAAATACTACATTTGTTTGTGCATAACAAAACACTGTTAGGAGGTGAATATGAAAATATATGAATGTGATTCAAATCAACTTCGTATCGCTTGTATTCCTGTATAGGATGACAATTCCATAATTCTATTATTCAAGTCAGCTCAATTTGGAATACGTTTGAGTCAATAGGTAAGGTTGAATTTTACTCTTCTTGACAAAATGTACCCAATCAGGCAGTTTTTCAAATCAACATGTGATCCCTAGTTTAAGAATATTCAAACATTCTATACCTAATACTTTACGATAGAAATAGCAGCTGGAATGTAAATCATATTTTGGCCTGTTTTTGATTACAGGCCGTGCGATGTAATGTCAATAAAGAATTTGAACTTAAAAATGCAAGGCCTAAAAAAAAACTGAGTCATAAAGGCTCCGACGGGACTCGAACCCGTGCCTCCCGGTCGGACGCTTCTGCCAACTAAGCTACGGAGCCATAATTCACAGTTTTTCTCGGCTTCCATTTTCTTAAATTTCTTCAATTTGTACATTCTAATTTGAAAATTAAAACTCTTTCGATACAGCTTTATACCAAGGACGGAAATATGATTAATTTCAGGCTGCGATTTCTGAAATAATTTTTGTTGTATTGCCTTCAAAGTGCCTTACTTACTCACTTACCACCGAGAGACCATCACTTTTCTACAGAGAGTAGAGTTAGTCCCCGTGCTGGCACGTTGAATTGAGTTTTTATGTAAAAAAATAAGGAAAGTATCAACTGTGCAAGGACTGTTAGAAATACTTCTAACAATATATATTGCTTTGCTACCGCTCCTAAAAGAACGTTGGAAAATATTATTCTTATATCTTCTTATTATTCTTTCTCAAATACCAAGAAAAGTATTCTTTGGTCTTAACTGACATCAAATATCAATTAACTAATATCAAAAGGAAGAAGGTTGAAGAGGGGTTTTATACCTAAACCAACGAAAACCACATCTCTTTACCCTTCTTTGCATCGGAACTTTTCAAGATTACAACAGGCGTAGTTACAAAATTCGTCAGAGAAATTAGTATCTTGCAATCTACACTTTGGCAGTTCGTGCATGCCCATCCCGCGATGAATTTCACATATTCGATCAAGATGCCGATGTCATCGTGATGTGTTTGGCGAAATTGAAAACTCTTTGCCTGCACCATGAAAGTATTATCCTAATTCTGGAGATCTTGAGTCCTTATAGCCACTCCCAAATCTAGCCATACCAAATTATGCCATAGGCTATCCTCAATCTCTTCTTTGGGTTTGAGGGCTTATCAGCCAACAATTCGGACGCGAACTGTCCCATTGGGAGTGGTTTGGTAAGAGCGGTATGTCATCTACTGGGTTCGCAGATTGGTATGTCAGTGAAATTGAATCTAGAAGGCATAAAATCTGTCCTCAACACTTCATCGATGACATGGCGTTGCCTTAAATCGCATTCCTAGTTTATTTCACTGCCGTAATCATCTCTCCGAATACTCCAGCAAAGTGCAGCATAAAAGAGGGGGGAAGGAGAAGGGTTGAGAGGGATCAATTTCCATCTCGCTTCTTCAGTTACAATAAACTTCGTCATCTCCTCTTGAGAAGCTCTCTTACTAATTCTTTGTTAGCCTGTACAAAGTTGCAACTATAGTCGGACAACATCTCTTAAGGAAGTCTTCTACGCTGGTTCATTTAATGAAGGGTCAGGACGTAGGCCATTTAAACTTAAACAGTGCTTTTTTCGGCGGGTCCATCGTCCCTCAATGATGGAAAATGGACCTCCAAAGTCGACTGCTGTTGGAGCTAAGACATTTGCTTGAGGTTTAATGAATAGAGGTGGAGCCATAATGTCTTCGTTGAAATTCATTGCACATAATCTCCCATTTCAAAATTTCGTCACGTTCAAAAATGATCTAGAGTCATGCCGCGAATGTGTGGTTACTTCCTCTTTATGGTAATGCTGGATCATTAGTTCAGTGTCGGCTGTTGCTCTTTGTCAACCGCTTCGCACTTAGTTGTTATAACTGTTGCTTCTGAAATTGTGTCTGTTTCAGCACATTTTTTTAGCCATTCGGTTCTCCTTCATTATTAAATCCAGGGTTGCTCCACAATGTCACTTCTCTGGTCATATCTAAGAATGGGCTTCCTCTGCAGACAATAACGTATGGATTTCACCAGCTGGAACATAACCCCATTGCTTAGGGTTGATCAAGCTTTGAATTAGGCCACATTGATTAGCCACGATAGATGCAAAATGTCCACTTCTTCCTCTTATCCACCAAAGTACACTCGCACCGTCCAGGCAAAAGATTTTTCTAGCCAGCTGACAATTCAGAACGTTTGGAAGAATTTCAGTTTATCGTGGACATAAAGCTGCCGTTGGCAAATGAAAAGATGACACGCTCGTTGCCGTACGTGAAGTCACGCGTGTTTTTCCTGAAACCACTCGTCTGTAGAGCAAACAACTCTCCCAAACAATAAAACCGCTTCATTGGCGTCTTAAAAAGAATTTTAGAAATATCGAGGTGCCTCAGAGGAAGGACAGTCCTCTAATTCGTCAATTACTTCCATGTCTTGTTAATCAGTCATTCAGGGAGGTGTCATTCCATTCTAATCCAGAAAACGACATTTGTTGAGGCGTCTTCCTTAGGCAGCCAAGTTAGTCATAATTACTTCACAGTTGGTAGTGGGTCCTTGTCAGTTCAAAATTCTGATACTCAGTGCTAAATGTGAACCTCATCCTTTCAATCTCGTTCAACTTTAAAAACGTTTCGCACCTCGAAGCTTTTGGCTTTTCGCTAGAGATGGTCGTCACTGTCCTTTCTTCTTATAACTGATTGCCTTCCTTCGTAATTTTCTGCTGATTCTTTTTTCGTCTAAAAAAGCGTCTGAGTTAATGCAACTATCGAGTCGCAGTTTTTCTTTATTAGTAAATCCAGGGGTACTCCACGGTGTCACTTCTATGGCAATTTATGAAACTGTACTCTGTTTGGAGCGTAAAGCCATTGCTTGGGATTGGCCTAGATTTTCCGTTAGCCCCGGAACTCAGTTGCAGAATTATGATCTTCGCTGTCGTACATGAGGCTACTCGTTTTTCTTTTCCTACAACTAGTAGTCTGCATATCGGATCACTCTCATAAAAGCCTGAAGAATTCATGAAACACCTTGGTGCCGGCGGTCCTCCAATTCAGTAGCTGCTACCCTTTCCTTTTAATTAACTCTCTCAGGAGTAAGTTATCCCTGCCAAGTCCTGCACTCCACATCTGCCAAAGGGAAATCTTAGCTCCGATGAAAAATGGGGTCGGAACCGTTCCCAGAAAGTTCCCTTTGATAAACACGAAACCACTTTCAAATGCATTTACTTTAAACTTAAGAATGGTTTCTTCTAGCAGGCAAGTTAGTCTTGACGATTGGAAGCAGATACTTTCACCTCAGTTGGAGAAATTTTACGAACGCAGCCTCTCGAGTATCAGCTGATGTCGCCTGAGTAAATTTCAGCAATCAGTGGGTCTTACAAAAGTCGTAAGTCTGTGGCGATTACTCTTCTTATAGGCTTTACAAATCTCAGGCAGATTTGGTTTGTCCTTCTTACTAGAATGGCAGAGGCCTCCAAAAAGGCGTACATCAATTCCAATGCGGTCAGGACAGCCCTGGAGAGCAACCGTAAACTTTCTTGAAATCAAAATCTTTGATGAAGGTGTTAAGAGAAAGTAGGGTGTGTTTACCACAGAGCGAGTAACTGAAGCGTTAGAAGCAATCAACTGAAGCAAACATTCCGCAAAGAGATGACCCAGTGCCCACCAAATTATGATTTCTTTGACTGTAGTTGATTACACGTATTACATTTCTCTTGTAAAAATCACCAGAGCAAAAGCTAGAGAGCCAGTGCCAGAATTATGGGATAGAGATGTATTGGAGCTGTCGGCGAATTTTAGCGAAGTGAAGTCCAAACGAAATTTGCCCATACCTTCTTAGTAAGAGACAAGAAAAGCAAGAAGAAATAGGCAATTAATTTGTAGATTATAGAACATAGAAAGCTTTTGGATTTCGATTTATCCTCCTGTCTTGAGTCCAGACGATCAGAATGCAGTGAAGTGGAGAAAGCTGAGAATTTCATGGGGTTTTGAACGGCAGTTCAGCTGTACGAAATGCTACAACAGTTGTGGCAGTGTGTGCTCTTCTCGGTGGCTACCCTCTGGCTTTTAAGGAAGAGAGACAACCATTCATTTATCGACATTATCAGCTCCTTTGTCGTCTCGAATCCTATCTGTTTCACTGTGATTCACCAGTTCGGAGTATTTTCCAGTTCATTGAGAGTGACTGGCGCCAAAACGCTGTTTACGGTCTACTTTAATTGCTTTAGCAATTATCCAATCGACAAACTTTGGACCTAAAATACGTTTGGAAAATATCACCCAAACAATGATTTGTCAACTTCAATTTCTCTGCAGAGTAAAGTCTGTCTCGACTGTATCGCATCTCCACACTAGCGACCCTTGTACCCTACAACCAAACCAAGCCTAAAGATGTTGGCAATCATCAAACCATAAGGAGAATGTGGAAAAACAATGATCGTCCTTTTACCTCAAGGAATTGTCCACACAAAATTGTTCTACTTGCGAAGTAGTGTCGCATTCTTGCCTAAGAGATGTTAGTATTACAAATTATGATATGTAAGTCCTACACCAGCTAAAAGACGATTACCAGTAAAGACCACGGGGGGCAGTGCTTTACACCAGTTTGTACAGTAAAGAGTCACATGCAGAAAGCTTAAAAGCACAATATCTTAGTTTTAAGTAATTTTACTCACAGTTTCAAAGAGAGTGACGGATTGAACCGAAGAAGCCTCCGATAAAGCTCTTTCTTGGCATGGCACCTTATACTTCTCTATCGTCTGATAAATTTCAGGCAAAGAGATTGCATCAAGAACGGAAGCCTGTGACGCACCATTCGAGTCTGCCACGCCGGTAATTTTTGTTCTTGTTGTTACGAACTGGATTGTTTGTATGATCTCTTTTCCACTTTGTGACAAACTGAGCCGTGCTTTACCCGGATGAAGAACCGTCAAGGAAAGGCTGTGTTGCGGTAGCGCCATTGATGAAATTCTTCCTGAGTCTCTCTGCTGAAGAAGTCTCAGTGCAACTTTTTTGAACATAAAACAGCTTGTCTGTTCATCTTTAAAGGTCATTCCTGTAATCCTCTGATGCATCGAAGTGTCTATCTCAACGATACTCTCTTTATGCGGAACACCATTGTTTGGATGTTTTGATAAACAAAGAGGTAACAGATCGATTCGACTGCCCATAGACATAGTGTCTCGGAGGCCACATTTCGCCGTTGGAGTCAAATCCACGATGACCTTAGTCGCGACACCTTTGGATTCAGTTTCCATGCACTTCATTTGGAAACACTCTTGAACTGCAAGTGAGATCTTTTCCTTCACAGCATTGAGGTCTTCGATATCTAGAAGGAACGGTGTTCTGCCAGCCACCAAGAAAGCATTTTCAGTTGCATTCTCCTTGTAAGTCAAACTGTGAAATAACGGTATGTCTGCGGAAGCGTTTTCCGCGTCGCTCTCTTTCGGGCCAATTTGAGAGGAAATGAGGATGTCTTGAACAGCAGTCTCTCCGTTACAGGTGATTATGGCTTTTGAGGCATACACTTGAATTCCATCGAGAAGCAAAAATGGAAAACTGCTCTCGTTTTGAAAAAGTTTAGAATATAGATCGTACGCTACAAAGGTGGTTTCAACCATTTTCAGTTCTATAGAGAACAAAAGAAGTAAAATCAACACAGGCCTCAAGTTTCGCAGACAGTCAAACTCCATCGTTGTCGCATCTCCATCATTTCCTTTAACGATACTCTGAGCATCACTTTCTTCTATGGCGCTGCTTAGGTCTTCCAAAAAGTTTCTAAAACGATGGTCATACTTTAGTGTTCCGTGACATCTGAATTTTTCCTTCAGGAATATGCTGTGTAGGCGGGCAACACCCAAGTGAGGGTAACCTTGGATTACACGTACGCCGCAATGCAACTCTGCGTATTGGAAAAAAATGGCAGCTTCCTTCATCATTCCAAGACGGAGAAGCTTTTGCCCACTCTTGATGAAATCGGATGAGTATTTGAAAGCGACTATTGACATCGACTCGGAATACTGACCATCCATTTTCTTCACAGTGACAGGTTTTCTATCGGCTCTGCATTTTCTTAATTGACCATTGCTGTAGTGGTTTAACAAAAAGGCCATTCCTTGCCCGTACTCTGCGACAAGACCTTCAATTCTATCATCAAACACACACTGTGTTTGAAAGGTTTTGAAACCTCGAGTGATTTCTATGTACTTCACTGACAACTCATTCACAAATGACACTTGGTAGATGGCCTCTATGTTCTCAGTGGCTCTTTGAAAGTAAAGGTAGGACTCTTCTTGATTCATTCTCGATGTCACATCACCAAGGGACATATAGCACTTCAGGAGGAGAAAATTCTTGAAGCCAAATATTTTTCCCAGGATTTCAACGGAACTTTTGAACTTTTCCGTGGCGCTGGAGAATTCCCCCGCGAGACTCAAAATCGTACCTTGTTTGTACAACAAGGAAGCAATGTTAAAATGGTCAGATCCGAAAAAAGATTTTAGGATTTTCACAGTTGTTTGCAAGAGCTCAAGGGCAGCTTTCACTTTTCCTCTACGGATGTAGAGCTCTAGTAACTTCTCAAGTGCCTCGATTCTTACATTCATGTAAAGGTTTCCAAACCTGTCCACTATGTCATCGAGTGTATTCAAGTTCTCAATACTGAATACTTTATCAGCCTCTTTTGATTTTCCGTGAAGGAGCAGTACTTCAGACAGATGCAAGCGAACGAAGGTGTCAAGATACACAGAATCCTCTCTATTCATTTCTTTGCAATAGGATATCAGCCACCACAACGCTTGTTCTGCTTGGTTAAAATTGCCGAGAATAGTATGCAATACTGCTTGATTATTCATTACCGTGAATACTGCCTCAAATGGATATGGTATTTCCTTCATTTCTGTAGCTTTGCAACTCTCAACTAATATCTCCTGTTGCTCAAGGGCTTGACGATACTTTCTGAAAACCAGATTTAGCCGGCTCATGTTGCTCTTTACGGCGAAAACTTCTGTAACATTTGACGACCCGTTCGAGTTACGAAGGCCCCTTAGAGAAGTTTCAAACGCTTTTTGTGCATCGAGCAAATCGCCCATGATGAGGTGAACACACCCCTTATTGTTGTAGGCAGCAGAAAGGTCATGTGAACGACTAGTTGTATTTGACTGGTGATGCAGATCGATCAGCCGGTCAAAAGTTCCTCTGGCAATTTCAAATTCGGAAATCAGCAATGCAAATGCTCCCATGACGTTTAGTAATCCAGAGTAAAACTGCGCTCCTCTCGTACTTGAGTCTAAAAGTAAAGTCCCGTGTTTTATCGAGCAACTCACGCCCTTCTCAAGAAAGTTTTGTCTTCCTCGATGTAGGACCTCCAAGCCATACTTTGACGGAAAGTCAAAACATTCCGCCTTGTTTATTACCAATACTCGGAAAAGATTTGTTAAATTTCTCCGGGCACCAACAATGTTGTCACCTTCGTGGCACAAAATGGCTTCGTCGAGTACCCGAACAGCATTGTCCGAGAACTGCGAAGGAACCCTTATGTGGTTTAATCGCTGGACTGTATCTGATGCAGCGCTAGCCAAATGTGGTTGAAGTTTCTGATTTCTCCGTATAGCTTTGGTTTTGGTTTCTGTCCGTGGTCTCTTTTTCACACCGTTTGTCTCAGCCTTGGCTGTTGAGAGGTTTTCGAAAGGAAATAAAAATGTTACTATAAAGATCTCGTAAGTGTGCGCATGTGAGGAGGCTGGCTTTTTGAAACGGAATCGAGTACACTGAACTCTCTTCTTTCTCACCTCTCCACCTCTTTTTCGTGCGAAACCTCTATTCCTATTGGTTTGATTGTAAAATGCGATTAAATGCTTTGGGCCGGCTATTTATTTGGCAGTTGAACCTTTTATCTGAACATTTATCTTTGCGAAGAATGTCAAGAGATCCGCAAACTAATAAAGGAAGGACATTTCTTTAATCAAATCAACCCTTTTCAAGAGAATCTCTGAGACTCACTACTTGCGTAAAAACCGCGGTTTGGGTTTAAGCTCATGTAAATAACCGGCCTTTTATCTTTGCCTTTTAGGTTATTTTGTATGTGGTAAGTGTCATGATACTTAAAAGTCTTAAAGAAGTACCCCATCTTAAGCGGGTTCTTCTCGCCTCGCAATAGATCGCTTTCACGTGTCTTCACAGAATTATTTTCCGCCATGTTGGTTCACATCTGAGTCACGAGTTTCAGTCATTATTATATGCAAACACGATCTAAATTTATAGTTCCTTCTAGTTTACAATAAAACAAAATTAAATGTATGGCTTTCACCGAAAAATTGCTATTCCTTCGTCTGATCCAGGCTATGTCGTCCAAATTCCGCCTTATTAAAAAAATTGATGTAAAAGTCAGAGAGCGTTATCTCAAGAAGATCTCGACTATCGGAATCGACCCTGTTTTGATAGATGGGGAACGCTTCAAGCCTGATTGCTTACTGCCGGTGGAATCGACTGATTTGCTCTGCTATTTGGTTCTCGAGACTAATTATTATAGGCAAAAACAATTTAAAGCCTTCTGCAGTCTCGCAGCCTACAATCAAATGGTGTCGCGCTTTGTTTGCAACGTTCAAGGCATATCATCGGAACAAGTTCGAGGTGTTGCAAAAGTGCGGCACTCGCAGCGGATGAACGATGCCTTGATTCAAATCTGGATTATAACCATATAAGGATGGGACTATAAACTGCGCTCATTGTTTGGGATGCGAGGCAGGCCTCGCCGGATCATGTTCGCACATAGCTAGTGTGCTATTTTACCTTGAGGCTTGTACAAAGGTCAATGAAAGGCTTTCCTGTGCGCAAATTAAGTGCCCTTGGATACTTCCCAGTTTCGCTGACAAGGTGGAATACTCTCATGTCTGCGATAATAGCTTTAAATCCGCTTAGAAAATGAAAGCGGATAAATCGATGGAGAATCTCAGTGAGGGAGTTAAGGTTTCTGAGAACTCGGATGTCTTCACTGAAAGCCCCGTTCAGAAACCGGAAGCGCCAGCACCGACACAAGCGGAAATGGAAAACTTTTACTTTGACCTTAGCAAATGCAAAACAAAGCTTGTATTGCTGAGCTTTGTGCCCACTGCTGATTCGACATCGAAGGAAATGTCGATGACCTTTTCTCCTGGTTCATCAAATTTTTGTTTTTTGAACCCGATTTCTTCCCGAAGCTGCCTTTCACGTTCTCCTGCAACACTTCGACATCTGGCTCTCTGGTCACAGGCGGCCCAAGCTCCAGCTGTAGATGATCATCTTGCGCAATAACAGCCATTGCGGAATTATAAGAGTTTGTATGGGAATTTTAACGACCGCTTTAAGGAATAAAAAAATACGTCAAAGTCTCAATTAAAATACCTCACCTTACTTCCACAGCGTATCACTTGTTATCTGATCTCTTACTTTGATGAAAAGAATTCATTTTAAGAAAAGATTTTCTTATGTATTTAACCTCGAAATGGAAAACTCGCTAAAATGGGTTCTTTTCATCAAAGTACGCGGTCAGATAACAAGTGATACGTAGTGGAAGTAAGGTGAGGTATTTTAATAGAGAATTTGACGTATTTTTTTAATCCTTAGAGCGATCGTAAATATTCCTATACAAACTCTTATAATTCCGCCATGACTGTTATTGCGCAAGATGATTATCTCATGTAATAGTGTAGTTTGATCGTCCGGGTGAGTGTAGTCCTGAGAAGGACTG